AGATGAACGGCAAGCATCAGGGATCTGGGAGGAGTGCTGGTATGACAGCCATGCGTGGAGCAGGAGCAGCCTGGACAGACACGTGTGGTGATATCAGCCAAGCGCAGGACCCTGTATCTTCTCACCTCCACAGATGGGCTGTCAAGGCCATGGGTCTCCACCCTGCTTGGGACAGCAGGACCCAAAGCGTATGGTCATGAGCTGACAGTCCCCCTTGCGTGCCCATGGATGTCTTTACTGGGCAGCCTGGATGGGCAGAGGAGCTCCCCTGTTTGTTTTAGCCATGTGGTAGGGTGCACAATGCCCAGCTGAGATCCATCCAGCTCTGCCCATGCACCTGAGCTCCTACCATTTGCGTTTTCCTGCCTGATTGCCATCGCTCCCTGAGCTCTGGGCCACACCGTAAGTGGCACCTGTGGCCTTCCTTGGCCGGGGCCACAGCATCTCCTAGCCCGGTCCTGGGGCTGGGAGCTGCACCAAGCCACGTGCTGGCTTTTGCAACTCACCTCCTCACCCGCACACGTCCCGGCATTTGCATATATTCTGCCCACAAATCCTTGTCAAGGGGAGCCTCTTTATTGCCTGTGTAGATCACAGAGTGTTAGTTAAGGGGCTTCTTTGTATCGCCTCAGACAGCTGGGGTCATCAAAAGTCCTGCAGTGGGAAGGAGAGACAGGAGGAGGGGGGAAGCCCTGACAATACAGACTGAAGGATTAAAGGAGCATATAAAGTTCCTATTGAGTGAGACAAGAGCCTGTTCACTCTGAAGATTGACAGCAACCAGGAGGCGATTCCCGACACAATGTCCAATTAATTCTCTACCCTCTTCACTACTGTCTCCTCCCTTCCTCCCTCCCTCCTCTCCTGGGCTGGTGCGTGAGCAGGGAAGGGCTGAAGCTAAGATCCTCAAGAAGGTAATTAATTATTCCTGACTCCGAGGAGCCTGCTGGGGTGTAAGGCAGTCCCCAGACTTTCTGGGCACCTTGGCCCCCTCCCGCAGGTTCTCAGCAGCGCTGCCACTTCAGGAAAGTTTTCCTTTTTGTCACAGGCCCAACTGTGACCGGAGGGTCCAGTCTGCAGCAGCCCTGCCCAATAAGCTACAGTTAGTGCTGGACCCTGAAGGGTTAGATTTAGGGCTAAATCCAGGCTTAGTTCCAGGTTAGAGCAAGACAGATGCAACAGGAGAGCTAGGGAGCATGGGTGAGGCCCGTGGGCACGTAGAGCATTTGGGGAGAGACAGAGCAGCGTGCGCCACGGTCAGGCCTGGGGATCAGATGCAGAGCCTTGCTCCTTACCCACGTGTTTGGTGGGAATGGTTAAAACAGCTCCATCCAACCTGCTCTGATAGGGAAAAGCGGGCTTCTGACTACCAAAATCTCCCCTAGAAGACACACTGTGTGAGTATTTATATACGTGTGTACGTGTGTATGTATTATATTTTTAATTTTAAAGCTCTACTTTCTTAATCAAAGATTGTAAAGTCCACCTTTTTGGCCGAAGTGCTTTGGTTTTCAGTTCTCCGCCCACAGCATTACCCAGCCTGCCGTCCCGCCGCCCTCCCGCCAGCCTCCTGGGGCTTCAAGGCACTAAAGCGGCGGCAGCTTGATCTAATGAGCGCTGAAAAGAGGAGCAGGGAGGACGCAGCAGTGTGGAGCCTAGCAAACGCCAGGGGACCCTGGGTACATTGTCTGGGCAGGTAGCTGCCTGCAACTGCTGTCCCCCGAGCCGGCTGCCCACGCCAGCCCTGGCGTTTGGTGTAGATATGTTTATAGGAGATGTTTGCAAATGTGCTGCCCTACTCACAGCATCTCTTTGATTTACCTCCATGCAACAGAGAGCAGAATCTGGGCCACCACGTGACATTCCTGCAAGCCTCTGAGGACCTTTTTTTGATTTGTCCACTTTTTCTTTTGCAAACACGTCAGCCTAGAGGGTTGCGGGAGCAGTCGGGGAAGGCACCTTTCTCTGTGCCGACCCCCTTTTTGTCGGCATCGTCGGTGGTGCTGAGGCGCGGGCGGGAAATTTCC